TTTATTTTCTTCATTTATAGAGAAAACAGTCGACAAAGAATTCTGTTAGGTTAAAAAACCTTTCGCTAAAAAAAGAACGAATTCTAAAAGAAATAAAAATAAACAACTTAAAAAATAAAAATGCTGTTGCCAGCCATAGAATTTTTTGAAAGTTAACTTAGCAACATAAATCAAAATGACATAGAAGCGCAACTAGATCAAAATTATGATACCTGAGTGCTTGACGTAACAAATCCTTCAATTCTATAAGTGTTGTATCGCCAAATGCCCAAATTAACAATTGCAATTTCAAATTAATATTGAAATGTACAGGTTTAGAATTTTCTACAGTGAAAAGTTTTCGGAACTTCAGTATTCAAAAAAGTATACAAAAGCTAGACGTTAAGAACGTATCCAATGAGCGAGCATTGGATTGCGAAGCAATCCGAAATGAACTGCGAAAGCAGTTTCGGGGGTTGGCGAGCTCCAGCGAGTAGGGGGCGAAGCTTCCTAGTTATTTATAATGAACGATAACACTCACTTTCTAATCAAAGCTTCACTCGCATATGCGAAAAGCGCATTATAATTTCATGAAAAGCGGAGCACGATGTCAATAAAGTATCATTTTTTTAAAATTTACCAAATTGTATAAGATACGAGATTAATTAAAGCAACAAGGATGCTCGGAGAATAATTTTAGATTTTCCATTACTTTTGGCAATAGGATATAATTAAATATTGTTAGTTTTTTTATTAGCTTCCCTCTAAAGAAATAACAGGCAAATTGTAGACCACCATGCAGGTCCATTGACTTCAACAACCGGCCAGGATAAGTTTTTTTTCTTTTTAAATCGTGAATTACTGAAATAAATTATTTTAAAGATACTTTCTTTTGCGGATAACAGTAAGAAAAAAATAGTAAAGCGAGTAAATATTTCCACTTCTTTGTTACGTAACGCATGGTAAGCAGAAAGTGATAATACATTATAGTTCATGATGATTTAGTTTAGTTTCTGATTTAGTTATGATTATTATTATTATATGAATCCATAAATATGAATCCACAAAGAACTATATACGTTCTTTATAAACTTGTAACATTCAGACGAAATATAAACTAAATTAAATACGAATGATTTTGAAGAAAAAAAATTATAGCTTTTCGAACGAAACTAATTTTAGTTTTAAAATGTTTACACCTGAATTAGCTTATGTCAAGTATTTGTATAAATGTAACAAAAAGTTTTTTCCCTAGTGTTAAAAACTTGTGTCCTCTCTGATCTACAAATATAATAGTTAGTGTTCTGAAAATGTTGTTAAATGTAAAGGTCCAACTGTATTTTAAATACCTACCACTACGAACTATTTTTTAATTTATAAATATTTATAAAATTGAAAAGTAATAATATACAAAAAATTGATTCCCAAATTCCATTGTATCTGGCAAGTACGGGTAAGACTAATATAAGTCTAACCTGTAGAGAGAGAGAGCACTACTATACTAATATGTTGGATGGGATAGGGGCTTTTATCGTCTCATACATTTACATTATAATCATAGACTATAATTGCAAAAAGTGAGGTGAGATCGATGCAGTCAGCAGAAGAAAGGAGTAGGAGGGGCTTAGTTTATAAGTAACGCCTACCTAGATTACTTCGTCTTTGATTTTGTGATTTCATATCTTCTCGAGATAAATAGGATCTTATCGTTTTAGAATTTTGATAGATATTATAGAATGCGTCATTACAGCAGCTACAGTAAAAGTCTGAGTTTAATAACTTGGGTAAAATTTTCATATTGGAAGATTTGATTAAAATTCAATGCAGTGCAGCCAACTGCTATGACATCAAAGTTAGCGGTTAATTTTTATGTTATGTTCAATTAAAGTGGGGACCTCGAATATTATTACTTTAAAAAGGGTTAAAGTTTAACCCTTTCGAAGGCAGTGGGAAGTATACTTCCCACTACTTTTTTACCTCTTTTAATTTAGGTTTCCATTTGTTAATAACTACAGATTTCTTGAAGTGCGTTTGAATAAAATTGGTAGGCAGTTGTTAGTTTACAAAAACGTATAAAAGTTATAAAATACATAATTCCTTTTGAAGTTTGTAGCATTTATAAAATTTATTTTATAAATAAAGAAAAATAAAAGTCAATAAGCTCCTAATAGGTCGTGTTAAATATATTTACCACGAAAAAAATGGCACTTTTATAAACTAAATTAGTTTTTTTCTTCTTATATCAATTACTATTTTTAAAACAATTTCAATTCCCAAATTACTTTTGTTTACCTTTACTAGAAATAATTGGCCCTTTAAAGGGTTAAGTTGATCAGGATGAAATTCATAAGTTTATGAACACAAAACAATGGATGAAAAATACAAAATGATAAAAGGTGATAAATGTTTAAGACATATTCGACATGATGACAACGGTCTTCGGTTAATCTTACTTTTGGAAAGAGTCATTTTTAAAAAAAAATTCTATCTTACTTTTGGAAAGAGTCATTTAAATAAAATCTATAAAATTTATATATATAAAAAAAAAAGCTTAGCTATTTTTTGTGTAAGAGCAAAGCTTTAGAAGAGTACATGAGTTACATTTCAGCTAGCGTGAAAACAAGTAATATCTACACTTTGCTCAGTCATCAAGTACTTCACTTTACTTTATGATAACACTGGTCAACAACAAAAAAAAAGTAACCTTAAAATCTCAGGTGTAATTGAGATTGGTGTGTAAGCTTGCACCTTGCAGAGAGATTGGTGTTGGCGTCACTTGAAATTTCAGATTTGGTAAAGAGTTGTTAAAAAGTTAACCCATATATAACGTAGATTGCCTTTTTTGAGTTGTTAATTATAAATAAAATGAGTTCAAGTAGAAGAAGCTGTGAACATCATCCTGATGTCTTTTGCTACGTTTGTGGAGATTACACGTTTCCGAAAAACAGGAAAGCTGTCAGTGACTTGTCTTTGTAAAGAGAGCTTATCTTGGATACTTTGGTGTTAGGCTTAGTGATCAGGATAAACCCTGGGCACCACATCGGGTCTGTAAGACTTGTACATGGCATTTACGACAGTGGACTACCGATAAAAGGAAAAGTCTGAAATTCAGTGAACTAATGGTTTGGAGAGAACCCAAAAATCACTTCGATAACTGTTATTTCTGCCTAGTAAATATCACTGGAATCAATCGAAAGAACCGTAACAAGTGGACTTATCCTGATTAAGTCTCTGCAAGGGGCCCGATTTCTCACTCAGAAGAAGTGCCAATTTCAACATTTTACCAGCTACCAGAGTTCTGTGAAGATGAGCGTTGTCCCTCTGATCAACCTCCTGACGCCACTGAAGGTGACAGTGATTATGAGGAGATATCATCAATTCCTCGGCGTTTCAACCAAGATGAGCTAAATGACCGCATTAAAGATCTGAACTTATCGAAAGAAGCTTCTGAAGTACTGGCTTCTAGGTTGAAGGATAAAAATTTACTTGAACCAGAAACCAAAATTTCATTTCATCGTACAAGAGAGAAAGACATGCTACCCTTTTTCTCTCAAAAAGGAAATCTTGTATTTAGTCACGATATTTGAGGTCTCCTGGAGAAAATGGATCTTCCAGAATATTTTCCAGATGATTGGCGCCTATTTATTGACAGTTCTTAGCCAAGTTTGAAATGTGTTCTTCTACATAATGGGAACAAATATTCAATACCAATTGCTCACTCAACAAAAATGAAAGAAGAATACGATACCATAGTTTTGGTTTTGAAGAACATAAAATATCATGAACATCAATGGATGATTTGTGTAGACTTAGAAATGGTAGACTTTCTCCCTGGACAGCAAAGTAGCCACACCAAATATCCTTGCTTCTTGTGCCTCTGGAATAGCAGAGACAAAATACATCACTGGGTTAGAAAAGAATGGCCCAAGATAGAAAACATGGACATTGGGGAAAAGAATATCATAAATAACCCCTTAGTTTCACGAGAAAAAATCATTTTTCTTCCACTGCATATTAAGCTGGGTCTTATGAAGCAGTTTGTAAATACTCTTGACAAGAATGGATCATGCTTTGCATATATAGGAGAGAAAATGCCTAATTTGAGTAAGGAAAAAATTAAAGCAGGAATATTTGATGGTCCCCAAATAAGACAACTGATTAAAGACCCTGCCTTCGTAAATTCTATGAGTGAGGTTAAAAAAATAAAAAAAAAGCATGTACTTCATTTGTTGCAGTAATCAAAAATTTTCTGGGTAAACTCAAAGCTGAAAACTATGTTGTACTAGTAAACGTGATGCTTAATATTTTCAAATCCCTTGTGTGTAACGTGAGCATTAAGGTGCACTATTTATACAACCACTTAGACCATTTTCCTGATAATTTAGGAGACACTTGTGAGGGACAAGGTGAAAGATTTCACCGGGATGTTAAAATTATGGAGGACCGCTACCAAGGAAGATGGGATACTCATATGATGGCTGATTACTGCTGGTCTTTAAAGCGAGATTGTGCCAAAATACATTCAAGAATGTCACGGAAAAGAAGTTTCCGAAGTGTTCAGTGAGTAATTGGCGACTTTTCTCTTTCTTTGTATATAATAATATTTGTATAATAAAATAAAAATTCCGTGTTTAGTTTGTCTGATTAATCCATGGATTTCATTTTAAATAGTGTAATGTATAGTTCACTAAAATGTCTTTAAAGCTCGAGCTGCTAGGCAAAAACATAATGCTATATTAGAATTCAGGGTATCAAATTCATATGATATCACCTCAAAAAAACCTTGACGCCAAAACCACTGTAATTAACCTCAAGGTGTGAAATTACATTAAATTTTTTAGGCTCATTGAAATGCACCTCTTCGCGGTCATCTTAGTAAAAGATTAGCAATAGCACGAATTGCAAAGCTTTCGAAGAAAGTAGGCGTTACTTTCCATATTATACCTTACAGCTACCTCGATGAACATGCCACGCAAAATCCTGTGTTCACTCAATCAATTTACTTTATGTTAAGATAATTAATCCCACGCAGTGGGATTCCAAAAATTGTTAAGGCTCATTAAGATGCTCCTCTCCACGGTAATCTTTAGTAAAAGGCGAAAGATTAGCACGATTGATGAAGAGAAACCAGAGCATAACATAGAAAGCAAAATTAAAATCTAATATGTTTCTTATTAAAAAATAAACTGATAGGTATGCTTAATGTAAATTATATTTATTGCTACACTTGCTCATTTCTAAAGGATAGACAAACACTTATGCTAATATTATAACAATATTATATAATTATACAACTTAGAGCCTCTTTTGAATGGATTTTAGCTTGAAACGGTGATAATGCACAATATTCATAAACTTTTTGACAAAAGTCACAAATATCAAGAATTTATATCGAATCACCCGACCTTAAAAATATTAATAAATTGTTATCTTGTATGTATATTAAATTTTAGGAATAGGATTTAAATTGCGTTAAAAAAACTATAAAATCTTTTTACGTTAAACATTTTTATACGTTTATAATTTACTACCTATGGTGCCTTTTAACTTCGCATAAACAACTGTAGCGCCTTATTTTAAATTTAATAAAATTTTAAAAAATAATCTATTCCAATTTTCTTTTCGTAATAAAAAATTTAGAAATAAAACTTCACTAAATTAAACTTTGCTAAATTTAAAAAATTTTATTGGAAAATTACTAAAATTTTTTAATTTAAAATCTTTTTTAATTTTGGCAAAAATCTATCCTAATTAAGTGAAGAAAAATATCAATTTCAAAACTTGTAATGACTAAAAATTCCATTTATTTAGCTAAGTTTTAACTATTTTTTTAAATTAAAAATGGAATTATGAAAATTGAATTTGTATTCAGATCTTTATATTTAAAATTGTTATAAATTTAAGAACAAATTCCGTTTATATATATTTATATAAACTAAAAATAATTTTTATGTATAAACACACATAATATATAGTAAATCCTTATTTTTACATCGCTAATTTGCTTAGCAGTGATTTGTTTAGCATAGCAATAAAGTTAACATGTAAAAATATTTTAGAATTTATTATTATTTTAAATAAATGCAAAATTTCATTCAGGTGAAAATAAGGTATTTTCTTACTCTATACGAATAATACTTCGGGGGAAAATGTCGTAACAAGTACTATGTGGATTTAAATGAGTAAATTTTTCTATTTAAATTTTAACTATTACTTATGTTCGGTTTTCACAAAGGATTAGTTTACAATTTTAAATTAGCTAAAAATTCTTCTCTTTCTATACACACAGAGTATCCTCAAAAAAAGTTAGAAAAAATTTTACATACTAGTCACATTAAAAGCTAGTTTTTCATACAATGCTTTCTCCAAATTTATTTCATATATAATTATTACTAGATAGCAGCACCAGTAACAAAATCGAAAGTTTTGTATACTTTTTTATTGTAATTGAAGATTTCAGTCAGTTTATGTACTATACTACTATAACTCTGTTTGCTAACATGTATGCTTTTAATTTTACGTTAAGAGGGGAAGAAAGAAAAAAGGAATCACTGTTGAAGGTAGTTAGATTAAAAAATATCATAGCCTATTGAATGTCTGAGAAAACTTCAATTATTAATAAAAATCAATTATTTATTTAAATGAATCAATTATTTATTTAAAAAAATAAATTATTTATTTAAAAATATGAATTATTTATTTAAAGTATTTATTTGTTATAATTATTTATGTAATAAATAGTAAATATATTTTCGAATGGTACAACAAAGTTTTTAAATAGTTGAATTTTTTGGTTTGAACATTTAATAACAGAGAGTAACTTCTTTTCTCTTCTATCAAAAGGATTTAATTTCTAACTTAAAAAATGATTTTTTTTATGTTTTGTTCTGTTTCTCTTAATAACGAAAAAGTGAAAATATTTTAACTATGTGTAAGTCACGTAAAAAGGAAATTTTATTTACGACACTCTTTGGAATAAAAAGAAGAAAAAAAAAACATGAGCATTTTATGTCCCATATATCTCACTAGATGGCAGCATCATTAGAAATTAACACTTTTCAAACCTCTTCTCTCTTTCTTTCTCATAGGTCATTATTATATTAGTCTTATCTTGAAAGTATATAATAGGTTGTAGATATCCTTGATATTGTAGATTCTGTACTTTAATAACTGCAGCATTTGTCCTTTTCTTAACATGTTGAACAAGACCAAAATAAGCGGCTTTTTGTAGCTCGATGCGTGTAACCAGGATGCGACTTTACACATTGTCGACTCCCGGGCACTTCTTTGGCACCGTATTTTGAAATTCGCCAATGTTACATTCGCCAAGTCGGGTTTCAAATTTTCTCGCGAAANAGTATACTAAAAAAAGATCAGTAGTTACCAACTGGCGGCCCGCGAACTAAAATATATTAGTTGTCATTAATTTTTTTTTAGCGGACAATTTTCGTAAAAAATCTATATGGGTTCAAAATACTTTTCATTCGTTTTTAAAAAAAAGAAAAATAATAAAAAAATAAAAAAAAAATTTTAAAAAAAAAAACCTAATTTCTTCGTTTTTGTGAAATTTAACATACCAGCAGTGCAAAAAAAATTTATTCCTTAGGTTTTGCATCCAAGAAAATATTCAAAACAAAAATAATCGTGCAAGTTGCTCTTTATAGGATATGTTTTTATATTTAAATAAATGTTTATAGCCACTTTTAATTAGTTCTATTCTGCTCGGTATTATAAGTTACATAGGAAATATTTTACTCACAACTTCTTTCAAAAATATTATTTCAAATCGTTCTTACTCATTTTTCTCACATAAAATTGTTCACAACTTTAAAACAAATGTTCCTCTCAGCTTGTGGTTATATTGATTGTTGATTCTTGATTACATTGATTAAAATAACTTTTTTTTAAGAAACTCTTATGTGATTGACAATAACGGAAGTCCTTTTTTGGAATTAGCGTCAAAAATTTTGTTAAAAAGCTATTAATTTCATGAAGTCTAACGAAAAGCTTAAAACTATTAACTAGTCTTATTGGGTTTAAAGAATTGCAAGAAAAAAAGAAAGAAAATATAATCATCTAGCTAACAAGTACCATAATGAGAGATGTAGGTTCAATTATGGGAAAATAAAAAGCGTTAAAATTTCATAATAAGATTGGAATTATATATTTGAATTTCTGTAAAGGTTGTTAATGGTAATACTTTCTTCAGTGCATTTTATTTTGTGGCTGTGGTACCTGTCAAGGTTTTAGCCACGAGGATTGAATAGAAATGACAGAAGTGGAATGCCATTTATCTGAAAACGAAAATTAATTTCATCCAGTTAATTTAAATCATGAAAAATAATCTAATATTTTAAAACCCGCCACTATTATTGCATTGTAAGTATGACTTTCTTACTAATTCATATTTTTTTTATTTTAGGTTCCAATACTTCCAAGTATTGGCATTCCAAGGAAGACATTGGCTCACATTGGGCTGTCTGGCCAACTATGATGATGATGACTTCCAAGTATCATCAGGTAGACGGAATCAATATTTAAAATAAACTTGTTGGTTATTAAAAAAATGAAATTTTAGTTTTAAGTAAATGTATTTCATTAAATAAATGTATTTCATTAAATAAATGTATTTCATATGACTAATTATCTGAATTCGCAGTTTTATAGCTTTAAAAATTCAAGCCCCTTAGGCAACTGACCAATAAAAATATGAGTTCTAACAAATAATTTTTTTTAAACTGTAGAATTCACTTAAGTGTCATTTCAAGATGATTTAATTTAATCTATTAGAATTACAGAATTATATATTTGAAACTTTCTTTTATAGCTTAACAAAAGAAGCAATTACTGCCGAAGGTGTAGTATTAAAAAATTCAAGTTGATAAATGAAGATCTCTACTAGTAAGAAAATGTAAAGATGTACATTATTCTTTATATAATATCTATAATATCTTTATATAATAGTGAGGTTAAAAATTAATAAACTAGGTGAACAGTATAACACCTCACGTTAGGAATTATTACCTTCGTAAGTATTAAAAAAACAGCTTTAGTTTGAGCTATATAAGCCTTAAGTATAAAATTTTGCATCTTAGGTTGATAAATTAATGCTTCTAAAAATACAAAAATATATACTTGAGGTGACGAAATAATAACCTAAGGTAGAACATGGAACATAACACCTTACGTTAATAAAAAATAACCTTGTCAAAAAATTCACTTGAAGTTGATTTATAATAACCGAAAGTGTAAAATGGCACACCTTATGTAGATAAATAAATACCTCAACAACTATATAAATCTATAACCGAAAGTAGAATATCGAACACCTAATGTTCATTAAGAACAACCTATCCAACGGTTAATTGATTTATAATAACCTGAAGTGTAAAACAACTTTTAAGCAGTAAATATCTACAGCTCCACAGAAATGCGCATTCAGACGGCCGAGCGGTTAGCGTTCCTGACTGCGAAGCCAATGGCTGCGGGCTCGAATCTCGCTCAGGACATGGATATTTCTCTCTGTGTGTTGTTCTCAGGGACTGATATAGGGTTGTAATATAGGGTAATATCTATGGTTGTTCTCTATTGTGTAATGTGTGAATATGGTCCACTATATATAGGGGTATCCGCGGCAGTGTGGAGTAGGTAATGTTGCTCGCCTCCGTAACTTAGGTTAAGGATGCCCACTGGGTAACATTAAATGAGTAATATCCCTGGCACCTTCCTAAGTGAAGGACGTAAAAGTGCCTGCCATTGGAAAAAAAAAAAACACAGAAAGAAATGTGCATTCATGAAATTGCGCTTTCAGAATTGCTTCTTCCACACACGCAAGTGCGTGAAGAAAGCCATTATGTTGAGGAAAAATATAGTGGGAAAGGTCCAATTTAAGAGAAATGAAAAATCAAATAAATGATTTTTCCATAATAAAATATTTGATTCTGGATTTGGATTTAAAGCAATTATCTTCTTCTTCTTTCAAATCCCCATTTCTAGCCTAAGACAAGGTCCATGAGATTGCTCACCTACAAAAAGTCTAAAACAGTAAGGGTCTTTCAATAAGGACTTGTTTTAAAAGACCGAGGCAGTCCAGTAGATGTTCAGGGGATGCCTGGGCCGAAGAGCACTTGGTACAGAGGGCAAAGCACTTTTCTCCTCCAGGGTACCTCAGTGATTTTTAAGGTGTCCACAGTGGAGACGTGTGATGGCGGTTTGAGACTGACGGTCTTTGTCAGCTGTCAAACAGCTACCCGGTCTGGTACCCTGGTACCAATTGTGACTGGGTGAAGTGAGACATGCTAATTTATTTTTGGCTTTAGCAATGGCGAAGAGCTCTGAGCAGGTAAGAGACACTGGAGGCGCAGTGGCCTCATCTGCACCTGCCTTGGCAAGACTATCTGCCATTTCATTGCCTAATATATCTACGTGTGAGGGTATCCATTGTACATGAATTCGACAATATTTAGAGAGGTGTAAAAGTTTACAAAGGATGTTCGTGCTAGTATTGTCCCCCACTCTGTGCCAGCTAGCCAAGTACTGAACAGCGCTTCTACTGTCGGTAAGGATCCAAATCTCTTTCGGAATTGAAAGTGACATTATTGAGGCAAGTCCATCATCGATGGCGGTAAGCTCTCTCCTAAAAACGCAGTAGTGGTCGGGATTCCTTTTCTGGATCTTAATTTCGCTCATCTGAGTTTTGATGAAGATCCCACCCCTGGTGTGATAGTCTTCGTCCTTGCTTCTATCCGTATATATTTGATTTGTTGTTGTTAATTTACGTCGCACTAGAGCTGCACAATGGGCTATTGGCGACGGTCTGGGAAACATCCCGGAGGATGATTCGAGGACATGCCATCACAATTTTGATCCTCTGCGGAGGGTATGGAACCTCCGCTTTGGTAGCCCGACGACCTGCACGCGAAATCGAACACTTTACGGTAGCACAGTTTAACGAGGACCAATACCGCACACCCTCGGTCCTTACGCAGACTGATCCAAGTGGTCACCCACTCGCACACTGACAGCAGCCAGTGATGCTTGACTTCGGTGATCTGCCCGTATATATTTGAACAGCCTCCGTTGGGATAGTGTAGATTCTCTCAAGTGTTGCTTGTCTAAGAACTGCAGGGTGATCATTTTAAAGCAATTATTGGGTTTAGAGACTGTCATGATTGAGGGTAACTCACGCATCTCCAATCGGCGACGAGAGATAAAGAGAGCATACAGTGAAAATGACTCTTTAGTTCTTCATTGTTTTCTTTTTCGAGCAGCAACTTTATCACAACATCATAAAACTCTCCACCAATCAATGAAGTTTGAAAACCAATGATGATATCTTTTAGCGTTTTTGATTGGATAACGAAATAAAGAGGAGAAGAACTTTAACCGCAGTCTAACTTTCTTTCAAAAACAAAACAAAATTTAACTGTGACGTCATGACAAAGCCGCATCTGTTCTGTTATTAAAGTTATTTTCAACAAAAACAACGAAGCGGACGAAATGGTTTCTTTGCACCTTTTCAAAGTGTGAGTTTACAGTTTTCCTTTGGATGTATAAAGGTCCATTTTAATATTTTGGATACTTCGAATTTGTGATTGTTATTCAATGATTTTGGCATGGATATGTATGATGACGATTTAGAAGAAGATGCCTCTCGTTTCATGAAAGATTTGAGCCTGTTTGAAGTGCCATCAAGAAATAGTTTTTGTGTCAATTCAACATCTCTTAGAAAATCAGAAACCTCTGCTGGTGAGGATTTCGAAAAGAAAAGAGAGTTATACGCAAATTTAAATGTGGATTCTCATTTAAATGTGCACCCTAGTAAATTGGGTACCTCATTAGCATCTGAATCCTATTATGCGAAAATACGATCCAAACAGCATAATTCAGTTTCAAATAATTATGTTCTAGAATCAGTGTCAGGAAGAAATACCCCTTTAGATCCGCAATCAATGCATGTTGCCAATGCTGTTTATTTAACTTCAATGAAACAAAATGACGTGACTAATAGTTTAGTTCAACCAAACCGGCCAATTGCCGTTGAAGGTTTCGTTAAATCTGGGCAACACTTAAAAACTAAAGATCCACCAGCTTATTCAAATATAGACCGATCTAGTATTATAGCTTCCACAAAGCTTGGCACCACCAATCTTTCCAATCCTGGCTCAGTAGTTAATGTCACTTTAACAAATGGTATTAGTAAAGGGTATTCAATGTCAGCTTCTAATTCTAGCTTACCGCACTCATATTTACACGTTAGTGACCCTAATCAGTTGAAGTATATTCCAAATAAAAATGTAATAAGTTCTCTTACTTCTATAAACAGATTAGGGCATGACTCGTTGCACTCCAGTCCACGCAGTAGTCTTAGTAGTTCTAGTGGTAGTCGTGAGTCGCAGAACTCTGGATCTCCTCGTACGAGTTACACTGGGCCAATATATGAAAACTTGAGCAGTGTTCGGAGTAGTTGTAATACTTTACATGAAAATGTACCAAAGATCAATTCTGCTTCAATCACGCAGGATATTCTTCAATTATCGAGGCCAAACAGTTCGTTGAGTTCTGCGACTCCTAATACGACTTGTATCGGTGTCATGCCTAAGCCACCACCACCATATCCGTATCCAAAATCGGCACCCGAACAGCCAATATATGCAAATCTACAAGAATTGTCAATTCAGCCTCGTAATACAGCTGTTACCAGTACTAATAATCTGTATAGTAATGTGGATATAAACTCTATAACCCAACGAAGAACTCCGCCGAATTATCCATACATTCATCGTCCAGTGAATTCTGTAGCCTGTAATTCATCTAGTTTATCTAGCAAAAATTATCCTTTGGTTTCTGCGGGATACAGTTGCCAACCTGTTAGTGCTACTCACGTTTACCAAGTATGTAGTGGAAGTATGGCCCAGTCACAGCAGGCAACAGTTCCTGTTGGCAATTCGGGTTTTTCATCGCAAAATAAAAATCAAGCTCCTAGTAATTTTGTGACCAGTTATCGCGTTTCTTTGTTGCAGCAGCCTAATTCCGCACATTCTTTTACTCCGATTCAGAGTCATCAGCTGTCTCAGCATTCAATTAGTCCATCTGTTGTTGGAAGTTCTCATAGTTTGCTGGCTTCTCCAACATATGTTAAGCCATTACCAAATAATTCACAGTCATCCTATTTAGTGCAGAGGCAGTTACCGCAGCCTGCCCATTCCCAAGTGCTAACGTCTTCTATAAGTTCAAAATCTATATCAACTGCTCAGTTGCCCCCACCACCGCCATATCCTGGTACAGGATACAAGCCAAACACCCTCAATTCCAAGACATTATTGCCATATAATGTCACTCCTCCTAGACAAAAAGGACCCACTGAGGCAGAAAAAAAGATCGAAGACCTTACGAAGCAAATCGAAGATGAAATGGAAAAAAATCCAGAAGGAGATTTTTTTGGTATGTAGGTTTTACTTTCTCAAATTGTTGTGTATAATTTGCTTATTTAAATCTGTCAGATTCATTATTAATAAATTTAGAAAGCATATTGAAAACCCCGTGGCAGAATTGCGGAGACATTGTCGCAGAACATTACTGAGTTTTTATGGAAAGATTTTTCCTTTGGGAAGGAAGGAATTTCAGTTTTCCTTTTTGCATAATTTTTCGAAATATATATATATATTTTCAGAGATATCTTTCTTGTGTATCAGAGAGGAAACAAATAATCATGATTTTTTATTCTCATTTAAGATTTTTTTTAAAAATCAGTAATGACTGGCTTTAGCTAGGATTTCAAATTAATGATATAAAATAAAAAATTCGGAAAGCACAAAAGTTTTAAAGATAGTTTTCTCTAGAAATGATATTCTTTCTTTCATTTTTCTTTTCTTTAATGAACACAATATTTTACATACACTTATTTGAGTATCTCTTTTTTAAAGAGTCTTATTCGTGGTCTTTATTTTGGGAGTTATTACACTGATTTTGCGATTTTTAATTTATGTACAGATTTGAATTTATTATCGTTTAATGTATTTATGAATTTTATTTTGTGTAATGATTTACAAAATTCTGAAAAGGAAATAAGTAGTGCAATTTTTCGCCTACAAAATGCGAGAATATCTCATATAATATTAGAATAAAAAAATATTACTTTTAGAATTAAAATTTTTTATTCTATACATTCTTCTGTAAACATAACGTTTCTGTTATTTTAAATTAGTAATTGTTCTAATTTAAAGTGTCTTTAAAGCAAAATATTAGTGCTAGGGAAGCTAGTCGCAGAAAACTCGAAAAAATTCTGCCACTGGTATTAAAAACTTGTTAGCCGGATGCAAGAAGGATGGTATGAAGTTATAGCCCTCAGTATATTTATGGAATTTCTTTATTAATTTATTTTTCGGATATTAACTTTTATCAGAGTTCTCCCTAAGAAAAAAAATGGGCAGGGTGCATCCTCACAGAAAAGAGCACCCACTTAACACCGTAGAAATTTATCAAAATGTGTAATATCATGTAATAACTGAATTCTGTCCTCAACGATTTTTAAGTTATCGTCGTATACTATTATATGTATATATTTCAAAAAGTAATTTCCACTCATATCTTAACACGAGAAAAAATTGTAGTTTATAAATAATAATTAAAGGCATGCTATTGTTTGTCTAAAGTAGGAACACCCCTAGTCATTCTTCTGCAGGGGTAGAAATTTTTTAAAAAAATTACTGGTCCCTAGGACCAGTAACTAAAACATTTTACTAGTCCGCAGAAAACTTTACTGGTCCGTCTACGCGTTCCTATTAGCTGCAAATAAAAAAAAAATTGAAAAAATTGATTGAAAAAATCATGATTTTTTTTAAAAAATCATAAATTTTTGATTTAAATCGCATTTTTTTGATTAATATTAATTTTGCATAAAAAATTTTTAAAAAAAATTGTGAATAAGCTCTAAAATAGTTTTAAGTAAGATCGTTTAAGTTTCGTTAGATCGAGAATAGATCGGCTGCGAGAATAGATTAATGGAGATCGGCTGCGGCGGATGGTGGTCCGGCGGACCACTGTTTATTATTTTATGCTGGTCCGACTCCGATTTTAGTGGTCACGGACCAACGGACCACCGTTAATTTCGAGCCCTGTTCTGGGTCCATGGCGGTGACTATGGTAACGAGGTATAACTATTTCAAGTAGGGGCGTGGGTCATTGTTTAGGACAGTTGGATCGGGTCGGCGTGAGAAAGGAAATATTTTTCTTCAGTCTATTGTGTTAGCTCTACAGCGAAGAGAAGCTACCCTCCCTGAAATGCGCTATTCTGTTTTCCATAGTAGCAGATGGCCACAGACTTTGTGGTGGGGGGAGTTCTTACTGTAGACAAATTGTTATTAATCTGTGCATACTTTTATTTTTAAAAAGTAAACAAAAAGTATTACTTTTTATGAACAGCTTAAATTTTTTTTTCTATAATTATACTAAATATTGTTAGAAAATATACAATAGAAAAGTGCATTTTTTAAATGATTAATTTACCTCCTTGGAAAAAGAGAATCTTTTAGCCAGTTAAAAATAATCCTAACAAATTAAATATTTTTAATAGTAATCAGAATTAAGCCTATATACACTGATAAGTTTTGTGTGTAATTATTATTTCAATGTTTAATTATTTTTTCTTAAAAATGGAATATAAATAAAAAGGCAGTCCCTTTCTTAGGGATGGCGGTTTATGTTTACAAAAAGAGCGCTTTTATAGGGATCAAAGGGCAGGCAGGTTGGGTTTATTTAGCTATTGAATTTTTACAGAATTTTTTCAATTACTTTTTTTTAGTGTGAAATGTTATGTATTGATAAAAAATATTATTTGTATTATTTTACTTGATAAAAAGTAATTTGTTTGGATCTTTCACTTTTACCAAGTATTTATTATTCAATTATTTTGACAAATATTGAGTGTTGTTAAATTTGGTTAAACTAAAGTTTTAATTTCAGAGACGGGGCACATATGTATGATTCTACCTTTCTCGGTTTTACGGGTTTTTTTTTTAGTCGGATTAATTGATTCTGTGTCCTGGGTTTTAAAGAATTGTGGTTTGTTGTTTGGCTTAATTCTTGTATACGTTACAACATGATTTTGGCAGTATTGACAATGTTTAGAAGGGTAATAAAATTTGAAATCTGTTGTTTTATATTAGGGTAAACGTTAATTTTTTAAATAGTATCATAGAAATGTAAATTGAATTATGGGGAAATCGAATGTGTATGTTTTGGAGGTGAATATTAGACATTATAGTGATATATATGATAGTTTTCTAAATGCATATGTTGCAAAAATGAGAAGATTCTATTAGAAGTGGATATTTGACGTTGTGATTATCGGTTTTTTAAAAGTTAAAATGCCACTGCCTGGTATATCCTACTCTGATGATTTTTGCTTACAGAAATTCTTGGTGATAACTGTAAAAACGTCATCTTATCATTGGTGGCAATTATGAAAATCGTGCCCAGCGTGTGATGCACTTAAGTGTTTCATTTGTTGTTTTATCTAATTTACACAATTTCTTTTAGTATTTTGCAAAGTAATTTATTAATGTGTCTATTATTCTTATGAATGTAACATTTTATAAAGTATTCATCCTTATAAAGTGGAACCTCATAGAGTTGATATGTTTTGGGAGAGACAGGGCTTATTGGACTGGGCTCGACTATTTTAACGCTATCAATATTTTTGTTTGATTTTTCTATTAGCATGTTGCACTACTTCTGCTATAAATTCTATGAAAAAGATCACTTAACTCAGTTACAGCTTGCCTTTTTTGTTTTGAAAATTGTAACGCTGCTAACTTTTTTTTGGAACTTTGCCTTTACTTTCAAAAATTTACATTTATAAGAATAGGTCGTGCAATAAATGGCAATTACTTTACAAGGTTATATCTTTAATTTAATAATTCCTCGTGTAGCAATTATTAAAACTTTGATCTTTTGCGGAGAGAAATTTTGATCTTTTGTGAAATATTGTATAGAATGGAAACATGGTGTTTATTATTAGCATTACACTAAGTTTTTGTTAGAATTATACTACTATACACTCTTATTAATGATTATTTAAATATATATATATTTTAGAAGTAGAAAAGTATATTCTTTTTTAAAAAATTCAATTCGTTCGAGTCTGAAATGATGAATAACAAAATTTCAAGAAATAAAAGCTAACAAATATTTTCTAAAAGAGTATTTTAAAAAAGTACTTTAAATTGATCTCTATACTAATATGTGTATTGTATGTGTACAAATATGTGCATGCATTAAAATGCACAATTTTTTAAATTCATTTCAAGTCAATTTGTTACTATCTTAAATTATTATTATTAGAAACCGTTGTGTTATGTATTTTCTCTCTCTCTCTTTTTTTTTAAGGTTGCGGACAATTAAAGAAATATTAATTACTATTTCAGAAGAATAGAAATACAAAATTACTATTTCTTAGGAACTTTTCAACCGATTTTGCTCAAATTTTGTATTGTTCTATATAGAATTAAATTCTTTAAAATGATGCAAAAAATTGTAATTGTCAAAGTTTTTCGAACATTTTTAAATAAAATTATAAAAAAATAGAAAATATTTACGACAAGTTATTTTTTTACCATAGAATAATTATCTTTTGATAAATGAATTTTATAATTGCTTGCAAATATTTTACAATTCGCTTAAAAAGTTCTAGCGAAATAAGCAAACACTAAAATTAACATTTAGGGGTCCAAACTTTGAAGAGCTCTTTTGACCAAACTATTGAGATCATATTTCCCAGATTGCGGCTACCCTTATATGTTAGATGTCGAAAATAAAGTATGTTTATCCAAAAAAAAGTACGTTTTTGTGTGTCATTTCGTTGCTTAGAATATCGTCTGCACTCTTTTAGCATATTGGAGAACGATCCCATGACCCATTAAGAGTGAGTCCTAGAACGTGAATATTCGATCAAAAATTATTCAGGGTGGTCCGTTTTTTTTCTTTTCACATGCTTAAATGTGAGGGAATTCTGCTTTCTTATGCTTCATGTTTTCAGCTCGTTCTCTCATTGTGCTTACCACCTTAAATATCAAAAAAAAAATTTTTTTTTCTTTTTATCTGAACTTGCAAAATTGGCGATTTCAATATTAGTTGTGTTTTTTTCTTGTAATTTATTATTATTATTATTATTTTTTCTTTTTGCTAAAGAATTTATACCGGAGATTCTAATAAAAAAGAATTTTGATCAGCTTCTGTCACGTTTAACAAGTTTTACCCACGTACCTTCAGAATTGAAAGAGTTTAGGTGTATTTTGTCTATCAAGTTGTTCAAATATAATAATTTCATACAGAATGGGTTTTTCCTTTCTTTTTTCCAATGTGTTGTATCTTTTATATTAATTTTGTGCTTTTTTTTTTTCAAAGAAAAAAGAACGAAACATTGCTTTCAAAAGTTGTTTAGC